ATGTCGCTCTTCTCCTCGAGCGTCCGCAGCGCCTCGTCGAGCGCCTTGCGCAGCTCGAGCGCCTCGACTTTCGCCGCGTCGCGCTCCGCGCGGGCCGCGGCGACGTCCGTCGCCGCCGACGCCGCGGCCTCCGCGTGCTTCGCGTTCGCCGAGGCCTCCGCCGCCGCCGTCGCGAGCTGGTTCTGGCAGAGGCCGAGCTGCTGCGTGAACGCGACGCGGAGCTCGTCGATCTCGACCGCGTGGCCGTCGACGGCCTCCGCGTGGTCCTCGTGGGCCGCCGAGTGCTCGCGCCCGAGGGCGTCGCGCTCCTCGCGCGCGCTGTCGAGCTGGGCCTGGACCGCGTCGAGCTCCGCGCCGAGCCGCGCGCCCGCCTCGCGCGAGTCGCGGAGCGCGTCCAGCGCCTTCGTCGCCTTGTCGCCGAGCTCCTTGATGACCGCGCCGGAGGACGCCTTCTCCGCCGCGAGCGCGCCCGTCGCCGCCGTCGCCTCGTCGAGGCGCCGCGCCTCGAGCCGCGCCTCGAGCTCGCGGTTCGCCGACGCCGACGCCTCGAGCTCCTGGTTCCGTAGGCTGACCTGGCGCTGGGCCTCGGTCCGCGAGCTCAGCGTCGAGAACATGGCGCCCATGAAGACCATGGCGACGCACACGTCCTTGACCTTGAGGCGCGACACGCCGGCGGACATGGCTTCGCGTCGCGTCGACGCGGGCGTCGGCGCCGAGCACACGCGGCCCAGATGCCTACAGCTGTATCCTCATGTTGACCAATTTATTGAAGGGGACGCGCGCGGGTTGACCAAGTTATTGATTATGTATCCTGATAGCCGCCTCAAGATTGCCATCCACCCCTCTCGCGCTGCCATTCCTTTTTAGCGCCGCACGTGCCCAACTCCGCTCGTGTCCGATGGTTTCTCGCAACTCCCTGCTCTTCGCGGCCTTCGCGACCTAAACGTCCGCTGAATTCATCGAGAGCACCAACAGCCCCTTCCCCTACATCGACGTCGGTTTCGCCAACAAGCCCTGGTTGGCCGACGTCGACGGCGACGGCGACCTCGACCTCGTCGTGGGCGATCACTATGTCTTTGGCGAACCCGGAAAAATCAGCTACTAAGAAAACGTCGGGTCCGCGGCGTCGCCGAGCTACGAGGAGAAGACCGGCACCGCGAACCCCTTCGACGGCATCGACGTCGGTTCCTACAGCGCGCCCGCGCTCGCCGACGTCGACGGCGACGGCGACATCGACCTCGTGGTGGGCGAATCCGTAGGCTTCCTCTACTACTACGAGAACGTCGGGTCCGCGGCGTCGCCGAGCTACGAGGAGAAGACCGGCACCGCGAACCCCTTCGACGGCATCTACTTTCACAATGGCTACAGCGCGCCCGCGCTCGCCGACCTCGACGGCGACGGCGACCTCGACCTCGTCGGGGGCGAATTCGACGGCTGGCTCTACTACTACGAAAACGTCGGGTCCGCGGCGTCGCCGAACTACGTGTCCGTCACCGGCAGCGACAGCCCCTTCGAGGGCCTCGACGTCGGTGACGACTTCGCGCCCGCGCTCGCCGGCGTCGCTGACCACAGCGTGCCCGCGCTCGCCGACGTCGACGGCGACGGCGACCTCGACCTCGTCGTGGGCGCAGGCGACGGCACCCTCTACTACTTCGAGAACGTCGGGTCCGCGACGTCGCCGAGCTTCGCGGCCGTCACCGGCAGCGACAGCCCCTTCGACGGCGTCGACGCCGTTGAGCGCAGCGCGCCCGCGTTCGGCGACGTCAACGGCGACGGCAACCTCGACCTCGTCGTGGGCGCTATGGACGGAAAGCTATACTACTACGACGAACCGACGCACGCACCGACGCTGACGCCCGCGCCGTCCCCGCGGCCGACCACGCCCGCGCCGTCCCCGCGGCCGACCACGCCCGCGCCGTCCCCGCTGCCGACCACGCCGATCGACGACGACGACGACGACGACGACGCCATGTCCGCTGCGATGATCCTCTTCGCCGCCTCCGGGTGGTGCGTGGCGCTCGTGGTGATCGTCGCCGCGCTCGTCGCCGCGAAGCGCCGCCGGACGCCCCCCCTCGAGCCCGCCGTCGAGCTCCCGACGAAGGAGGCGCCCGCCGCGCAGATGGCCTAGGCGCGCGGGAGCGTGCCACGTACCCCGCCGGCGGGTGCGACGTCGACGGCTCAGGACCTAAAAGTCCGCCGCGTCGTAGATGCCCTGTCCTCGGTCGGGAGGTAGCTCGGCTCGTGGGCGAGCGGGAAGGGCGTGTCGAGGCCGCAGACGCGCGCGGGCGGCGCCTCGAGGTGGAGGACGCACGCCTCGGACACGTGCGCGGACGCTCTCTCCCAACGTCACAGAGACGACGGGAGCTGGCTGCCCGCCGTTCGCGCCGCGTTGCTCCGCGAAGATAGCTTGGTAGCGTGGCTTAGGAGCGCCGCGCCCGCGGCCGCGCGCGGCGCGCGCGGGGGGCGACGGCGCGCGGCTGGCCGCCTAGACGGCGAGCGCGGACTGCTGGTCGCAGTTGTCGTTGGTGTAGCCCGTGAAGCACTCGCAGAGGCCCGAGCCCGCGTCGCAGAGGCCGCGGCCGGAGCACTGCGACACGTATTCGTAGTTCCCGGTCGACGCGGGCGCGAACTTGACGATGGACTGGAGGCCGATCATCTGCTCGGAGGGCGTCTCGCGGAGGTCGTCGTCCGTGTAGTCGGCGTCGATGACGGAGGACACGGCGGCCGTGCCCGCCGCGGCGGTCGCGACGAGCGCGCGCGCGGCGACCTCGGAGCCGTCGTAGTTGATGACCTTGTCGACGACGAAGTAGAAGCGGTCCTCGACGGCGTAGGTCGACGCCGACGTGGGGTTGACGCCGATCTTGACGATCTTGTACATGTTGCCCGCGGCGTTGGACGACGTGCGGAAGCCCTCGCCCTGCGAGTCGCCCTGGTTGAAGGTCGTGATCTTGTTGGAGAAGAGGAAGACGAAGTCGCCCTTCTCGAGGCACGCGTTGAGCGTGTCGAACTTGGCCGACGTCTGCGAGTAGGCCGCGTTCTCGTTCGAGGAGCCGCCGGCCCAGGGGTACGACTGGACGCCGTGCATCGTGCCGGAGTAGCAGGACACGTCCTGGGACGTGTAGACGATGTCCGTGCCCTTCTCGAAGTAGGCCGTCACCGGGTTGTGGTTCATGTCCGTGAAGCCGCCCGTGCCCGTGCCGAAGTGGCCGTCGGTGCCGTTGGCCAAAAGCGTCGCGACGCCGTCGGTCGTGAAGACGATGTAGTCGCGGTCCGCGACGGACTGGCCGGACGAGTAGAAGGTGCCGCCGGGCGCGCCGCCCGTCGCCGTGTTGTCCTCGTCCTCGAAGTACATGAGCATGAACTTGCCCGCGTCGTAGACGTCCTCCTTCGGGCTGACGCCGGACGTGGGGTGCGGCGCGACCTTGACGATGTGGGGGTGGTACGTCGTGTTCCAGGAGCCGTAGTCCCAGTTGTAGACCTCGACGTTGTTGTCGCTGTCGCCGTCGGCGTCGCCGAGGCAGCGCTTGAGCAGCTTCTTCTCCGCCACCGTCAAATCCTCGAGCTCGCCGAAGTACGCCTTGTCGGACGTCGTCGGGAAGGTCGCGCCGCCGGCCCAGTCGGCGACCGTGAAGACGACGCCGTCGCAGTAGTCGGAGAAGTAGTCCGTGAACTCGCCGGAGATGCCGAAGTAGTTGGGGTAGACCGCGATGTCGACGTCGAAGTCCTGCTTGGACGTGGAATTCGCGTTCGCGACGTAGACCGTGGGCCGCGCGCCGTCGAGGTAGGCGTTGACCTCCATGGGCTTGAGGTCGCCGGGGTTCTCCTCGAAGAGGAGGTCGTAGGTGACGAAGCCCTGGTTGCCCAGGTCCTTGGTCGGGTTCCCGAAGAGCACCTTGTCGCCGCTGTAGTCGAAGGAGTCGAAGCAGCGCACGGAGTTGGCGGGGATGACGCTGTTGGGCAGCTCCTCGAGGGCCGTGACAACCTCGGCGCAGCCCGCGGACGCGGCGAGGGGCGCCGTCTGGTAGTCCTCGCCGAAGACGTCGTAGAACTTGATCGCGTACGTGCCGTCGATGTACTTCTTCGTCTCGTAGGTGTAGCCGACGCCGTCCTCGGACTCCGTCGTCGCGCTCGAGTTGTCGAAGGACATGACGACGCGGGCCGTGGGCACGCGGATCGACATCATCTCGTCGTCGTCGTAGAGCGGGTCGACGCCGTACTTGCACATCTTGTCCGCGCAGGACGGGCCGCTGTAGCCCGGCTCGCACATGCAGCCCATGGACACGTCCTTGTCCCAGAGGCGGTAGACGTTGTCGAAGTCGGCCGTCGCGAGGTCCTTGGCGGACATGCACGTGCCGTGGCCGCTGCACGTCGGGTCGGGGCACGACGCGCGCTGGCAGCCCGCGCCCTCGTAGCCGGGGAAGCACTCGCACTCGCCGCTCTTGCGGTCGCAGATGCCCTTGTTGCCGCACTCCGCGTAGGCGTGGGCCGTGTTCTTGAGCTCGCGGCCGAACGTGTCGACCATGAGCGGGTACTGCTCCGTCGTGCCGTACGGGTAGACCGTGGACTCGGTGATGACGACGGACGACGTGCCGGAGAGGGCGTCGGCGGAGCCGTCGAGGTCGCCCTTGGGCGAGTCGACGTGGGCCAGGGCGAAGGGGCACGTGCGCCCGCTGCAGTCGGCCTCCTGCCAGTTCGGGTAGCAGTGGCACTCGTCGAAGGCGCCGCAGGTGCCGTGGCCGCTGCAGGCGTTGGGGCACTCGGCCGCGGCCGGGGCCGCGAGGGCGAGGGCGAGGAGGACGCGGGAGGCCATGATCACCGGGGGGGGCGCACCAACAGCGAGGCCGGTGTATTTAGCGCTTGTGTTGTGAGGGCCAGTGAGGAGCGGATCTCACAACCAACGAGCATGATACATACGAAAGATTCGGGGTTTGCATCGTCGGGCCAACGAATCCGCAGGAGCCCTGGGAGTCGATGGCTGCCCGGCCCTAGGCTCCCGGACCATGACGTCCATCTTCTTCTGCTTCGACGAGACGGAGAGCGGGTCCGTGGCGCCCAAGGCGCTCTGGACCGCCGCGGGGTCCCCGATGAACGCCGTGCCCAAGTCGCAGCAGGAGGAGTCGGTGCTCGACGTCCTCACGCCCGACGCGGAGCTGCCGGCGTCCATGGCCTTCTGCTGCAAGACCGGCGACGAGGAGGGCGAGGCCGCGCCCACGGTCGACAGCGCCCGGCTCCTCGCCCAGGCCCAGGACAGCGGCCGCTGCGACTACGGCGACGCGCGGGCGGAGCTGTTCAAGAAGGCGCGCGCGGAGCTCGAGCGCGCGCGCCACGACGCGAAGCAGGCGCGGCGGCTCAAGCAGAAGTCGCTGCGCGACGAGGCCTTCGACCTCTACCGCAAGTGCGTCGCGACGGAGCTCCGGGAGCTCGAGCTCGAGGGCGTCGTCGAGCCCGACCGCCTCGACGAGCTCCTCGTGTGCCGCCACGAGCGCGAGTTCAAGGGCCAGCAGTACGGCATCACGAACGCGGGCCTCGACAGCAACGACTCGCGGGGCAACGGGTGCCTCCACCAGCTCCTGGAGAAGTGGCACGCGGCCCGCGACGACGGCGCGCGGTCGCGCGTCGAGGAGGAGTTCGTCCTCGTCTGCGTCGTCGGCGCCAAGCTCGACGCCTACAGCCGCGAGCACCTCGCGCCCCTGTCGAGCGCCGTCAAGTTCGGCGCGACGGCCGTGCTCCGCGTCCTCATCCTCTTCGGCGCGGACCTGCGGTGCAAGAACGGCCAGTCGTTCCGCCCGCTGCTCCTCGCCGCGGAGTGCGACCAGCAGGCGTCCTTCCAGGTCGTCGCCAAAGCGCTGCGGGCCCGGGGCGAGCTCTGCGACGTCGCCGCGGACAAGGGCAACGGCTACACGGTGCTCCACTTCGCGGCCATCAACAACAACGCGGGCCTGCTCCTCTCCGCGCTCGAGTACGAGGAATATAGGGACCCGCTGGTCATCGACGCGCGGAGCTCCTTCGAGACGACGGGCGCCGAGAGCGGCGGCGCGGGCGTCGACGCGGCCTACGTGTCGAACCAGACCGCGCTGCACAAGGCCGTGCTCTACGACTTCCGGGACTGCGTCGTCGTGTTGCTCGAGCACGGCGCGAACCCGAACGTCGCCGACAACTCGGGCCGCACGCCGCTCCACTCGTCGGTGACGCGGAACAACGTGCCCCTGACGCGCGCGCTGCTGGACGCGGGCGCGGACCCGCAGTCGCGCGACGGCAACCGGCAGACGCTCCTGGAGAAGGACCGGCACATGGACGGCCGCCGCACGAACAAGGAGTGCATGGCGCTGATCCGCGCGACGCTGGCGCAGCCGCCCAAGGTCCGCATGGGGCCCGCGCACCACCTCAACAAGGCCGCCAAGGTCGGCCTCGACGTCGACGCGAACAAGGCGCTCAAGGACGTCACGGGCGTCGACGCCGTCCAGGCCGCGCCCAAGCTCGACACGACGGAGCTCGAGGCCAAGGTCGACGAGGCCGCCGACGGGGCCGCCGGGGCGCCGCGGCGCTTCGGCAACTTCGCGGGCCTCTTCGGCCGCCGGTCGTCGTCGTCGCCGGCGCCCGCGCCGCCGTCGCCCGCGGCCGCGAAGAAGAAGAAGAAGAAGGCCAAGAAGAGCAAGAGTAAGTAGGTCAGGAGGCGGCGCGCGACGGAAATTAAAATGGGCGGGCCCTCCTAGCCCGACGTGAGCCGCCGGTTGCCGCGGGAGGAGCTCTTCTCGCGGGGCTTGCGGCCGCCCTGGAGCATGTACTGCTGCTCCGTCGTGAGGAGCTTCTTGTTCTTGTGCATGAGGCGCGCCTGGCCCGTGCGCAGGTTGCCCATGGCCGCGAGCGCGCGCGTCTGCGCGAGCGCGGCGTCGGCGACGGGCCCCGACATCTTCGCGTCGAGGCACGCCTTCAGGCTCTTGCGCGCGGAGACGAGGGCGACGACGCCCTCCTTGCGCTCGAGGTCGTTCTGGAGCTCGTAGAGGAGGCGCACGACGCGGCCGCCGAACTCGTGGGTCCGCGCGATGAGCTCGGAGTGGCCCTCGATGTCGCTGAGGCCGCGGTCGCGCCACCACTGGCTGTAGAGCTCCCAGTGGATGGGGCCCGACACCTTGGGCTGGCACTTGCCGTTCTCCATGTCCATGTTCCACCACTCGTGGTAGTAGCCCCGCTCCTCGCTGTGGACGATGTTGTACAAATTGATGGGGTCCAAATCGGAGTACGACCCGACGGCCTCCGGCGGCTTCACGATCTTCAGGCCCGCCTCGACCATGCGCAGGGCGATCTCCTCGTCGTCCAGGCCCCAGCCCCAGTTGTCGTTGGCGTAGCCGTTGCAGGCGACGTAGTCCTCGGGCCGGAACGCCAGCGCGCCGCCCACGAACTCCGCGTTGCGGTACTTGGTCCGCCACGCGCCGCCGAGGTGCACGGGCCGCTTCGACTTGGGCGGGCACGTGTAGTAGGGCATCAGATCCTCGCTCGGCAGAATGTCGATGTCGTGGAAGATGACCGAATCGTAGGGCCGGCCCTCGGCCTCCGCCTCTTGCACGACGTCGCGGAACGCCGCGTTCATCAACCGGCCCCGGTTGAACTTGCGGCCGTCGTCGGTCTGCGTCGCGATGACGACCGTGAACTCGCACTTGGGCCGCGCGTAGCCCAGGTAGGCGACCATGTAGGGCACGAACTTGAAGAGCTGGGGCTGCCGGTCCTGGAGCGGCAGCTGGTTCCGGTACGCGGCGATGAGGCAGACGCGCGGCGGCCGGTCGCCGAGCTTCGCGCTGACCATGGAGATGATCGCGTCCGTCTTGCGCTTCACGAGGGCCATGGGCGATTTGTCCTCCTCCTTCTCCTCGACGGCCGTCTCCTCCTCTTTTTTCTCCTCCTCGCCGTCCTTGGCCTCCTCGGCGCCGCCCTCGGCCGCGGCCTTGATCGCCTCGGGCGTCTTGCCGCCCTCGGTGAGGAGCTGGTACTCGGCCTCGCACTCGTTGACGTAGTGGTCGTCGGGCTTGGAGCAGACGAGCTTGTGGTGGGGCCTGAGTGGAAATACAACCAGTGGAACGCCCTGTCCAGCAAAAACTTCAAACCTCTCTAGCTCGGCCAAATCGAAGTCGATTCGGCTGATTTTTGGACGAATCGATTGCTCGCGTCGAGTTCTCGAAGCACGGCCGAAGAGCTTGCGTCGAAACTGTCGCATGCGCTCACATTGAAGTCGGGTTGAAGATTTGATTTCCACGCGGGGTGGGGCCACGCGGCCTTGCCGCACTCCGTCGAGCAGTAGAGCGTCGTCTTGCAGCGGCCGCAGCGCTTGAACTTCTTGTTGCCGTGCATGAGGCGCGTGGGCTTGCGGCACCAGGAGCACTGCTTCTCGTTGCGGAAGGGGTTCATCGTCGCGTGGTCCATGCCGTTCCAGTCGTAGCCGTCCGGCCGCTGGAGCAGCGAGAACGAATTCGGGTCCACGAGCTCCTTGCCCGTGACGTCCTCGTCCTGGAGCTCGCACGACAACAGGTCGACCTCGAAGCGGAGCCAGGTGCCCCGGGGCGACTCCTTGGAGTAGCCCGGCACGGCCGGGTAGCGGCCCTTGCGGCCGAAGGTCTTCTCGGGCACCATGACGAAGTGCGCGAGCTCGCCGACGCGCATGGACGCGAGGCCCTCGTGGAGGCCCTGGAGGTACTTTTTGGAGCGGGGCACGCCGTTGTGGTCCTCGTCGCAGAAGAGGCGTAATTTCTCCGGCTCGACCTTTTGGGTCTGGTAGTCCTCGTCGTACGAGCTCTGGCAGACCGTGCCGTCGAGGCGCGACATGATGATGTGGCAGACGACGAGGCAGCCCGCCGTGGGCCGCCGGTTCGGCCCGTCGCGGGGCGCCTCGCGCTCGATCCACTTCTTCACGGAGATGTCGCCGTTGAGCAGGTAGGGCTTCTCCTTGGTCGCGTTCCGCTCGTCGTCGGACGCGGGCTCGCCCTGCGCGTCGTAGTAGGCCCGGTGCGTCGGCGCGCCGGGGCGGTGGGGCCACTCGTCCCAGTCCCAGAACTTCTTGTACTCGTCGGTGTCCGTCTTCCAGATGTGGCCGCTCTTGACGACGTCCTCGACGGTGAGCAGCGCGAGCTGCGTCGCGGCCTCCGCCTCTTTCGCGTCGTCCTCCGCGGACTTGGCCGGGCCCGTCGCGGGCCGCGGCGGGAGCTTGTACTGGCGCCAGCCGCTGTTCTTCTGCCGCTCCCACTCCTCGGCCTCCTCGAGCTCGCGCTGCTCCCGTTCCTCGCGCGTCTCCTCGATGACCTTGTCGTCGTCGCTCGCGGCCGTCTCGCCGTCGCCGCCCCCGAGGCCGTCGAGGCCCAGGGAGAGCACGGGCAGGTCGTCGTCGCTGCCGATGAAATCGTCGTCGTCCGCCTCGGGCGTCAGCCCGCCGTCCGCGACGGACATCATCTCGAGCAGCGCCATCGGGTTCGGCGCGCCGTCGCCGCTCCGCGCGCCCGGCGCCGCGCCCTTGAACAACCCCTCGGGCGCCTGGGGCACGTCGATCTTGCCCTGCTCCCAGGCCAGCAGCTGCTCGTACCACTCCACGGTCACGTCCTTCTTCTCCATGATCGGGTTCGCGGCTTTGAGGGACCGCGAGATGCCCTCGCCCTCCTTGATCTTGCCGACCCACTCCTTCTTGCGCACGTGCTCCGCGGGGATCTTCAGCTCCACGTGGCCGTGCTGGAAGCGGATGTCGTAGGTGCAGTCCTCGTCGTGGATGCCGACGACCATGCCGTTGAAGTAGTTCCGCACCTTCTTGTAGCGCGCCTCGCAGCGGTCGCCGATGTCCATCTGCATGAGGTGGCGCATCTGGGCGTAGTCGATGTAGTAGCCGAGGTTCATGCCGCTCTGGCCGTCCTGGGTCTCGATCTTCGTCTTGTTCTTATCGTGGCCCAGCTGCTCCTCGCCGCCGTCGCCGCGGCCGAAGTAGTAGCCCTTCATGCGGCCCTCGAACTTCAAGGCCGGTATGAACTCGACGCGGCCGTCGGCCCCGCGGCCCTTCTTGAGCTTCTGCTGGCGGTGGAAGTACTCCATGTTCTTGACGCGGACCTCCGCGATCTCGGCCGGCGTCAGCTGGCGCCGCTCGACCTCGGGCGGCTCGAACTTCTTGATCTTCTCGAGGCGCTCGCGCTCCGTCTCCGCCTCGAGCTCCTTGACCTCGAAGTCCATGGGCGCCCAGAGCGGGTGGTTCCGCGGCAGCGCCCACGCGGAGCCGACCTGAGAAAGTTTCGCCTCGGACGCGCGCGGCGCGAACTCCGGGGACGCCGCTTCCGCGCGTTCGGCGTCGCCGCGCCGTAGAGCGAGTGCGTCTCGATGTCGCCCTGCTGCACGGGGTCCACGAGCGTGATCGCCCCGGCGTCCGCGATCTTCTCGCCGCGGTCGAAGCGGCCCGTGCCTACGTTGCGGGTCTGGGGGGCGCCGCGCGCGCGCGCCACGCACCCTCGCCGCCGCCGAACTCCCATCGGCATCGCTCCGACTGGTTCGTGCCCTTCATCGTGCCGGTGGCGACGCCAGCCGAGAGACTAGACGACTTCCACGGCCGTGATGGCTGGCGCGGAGAGCAAGCCCTCGACGACGCGTCGCTGCAGTTTTCCGTTTTCAGCTTGAAGTTCAACGTAGACGTAGTCCCGAGTCGTGCCGCCGGCCGCGGAGTCCGGCCGACGACGCGACGCGCCGCCCTCGGGCGTTCCCTCTTACGGGTCCGCGGGCCAGTCGACGACCCCCCCGCAGACGTCGCGGCGGCAGGCGTAGAGGTCGCTCTGCTCGCCGCCGGCCTCGCGCGCGGGCTTGCCGAAGCGGTAGTCGCGGCGCACGGAGTCCGGCGACCGCCAGTCGGGCGACCGCGCGCCGCGCCTGAGCCCCGCTTTCGTCGCCGTGGCCTCGAAGCCCAGCGCGGCCACGGGCAGGTGCTCGTCGTCGGCGACGGACCACATGAGGTGCGGCACGAGCTTGAAGCCCCCGTAGCCGAGGTGCTCGAGCGAATCGAGCGCGGCCTGGTCCTCCGCGGAGACGTAGAGCGGCCGGTGCGGGAAGGGCACGCGCGCCAGGGAGTCGATGCAGACCTGGTCGAAGCCCTCGATGTCGACCTTCAAGTAGTAGCACGCGCCGCAGAGCGAGCCGACGACGGCCGCGCACGTGGTCGTGTTGACGCGCGCGCTCGCGCAGCTGTTGCCGCGCCTGCGCTGCTCGTCGCAGGAGAGCGTGCTGCTCGACATCTCCGGGTTGTCCTTGTTCACGGCGAAGTCGACGTGGGGCGCGCGCGGCGCCCAGGACCCGTCGCCGCCGCCGGGCGGCGCGACGGCGACGAGCCGGAGGTCCGCGCGGCCGTGCGCGGCGGCGAGCGCGACGACGGGGTGGCGCCGCGCCTGGCGCAGCAGGCCGTCGTTCGCCTCGAGGCCCACGACGCCGAAGCCGTGGCGCCTGTGGAGGGCGCGCGTGTCCTTTTTCAAAAAAATTCCGTCCCGCGCCGCGCCGCGCAGGTAGGCCGCCGTGTCCGCGCCGTTGTGGACGCCGACGTCGACGACGACCTGCCGGTGTTTCGTCGGGGCGCGCGCCGGCGCCGTCGGGCGCCGCCGCCGGCGGGCAGCGCGCGCGGGTCCGCGAGGCGCGCCGCCGCGTCCTCGACGAGCGGCGGCGGCGCGGACCTGCGGTCGATGGTTTTTGAAACATGCGGGGGTCGGCACGCGGCGACGCCGGGACGGGACGGCACGAGGTCGCCGGCGATGTACTCGTCGCAGCTCGAGCCGCGCCACCGCTTCGGCGCGTCTCCGTCGTCGCGCGACAGCGCGCCGTCGCGGATCGCCTCGCACCTGGCCCGGGCCCACCAGGCGAAGCCGCCGACGGGGTCCCGCGCCCAGGCCGGGGGCCGCTTGAGCGTCGCCATGGTCTTCTTCGCGTTGAGTACCGCGCCCGCGCAGCCGGCCTCCTCGCGGCACCGCTGGAGCGCCTCCGCGCAGCCGCCGCGCGCGCACTTGACGACGATGGGCGGGTCGAAGTCCGCGCCTGCGAGGCGCTCTCCCGCGGAAGTCTACGTGCGGGACGCGGGGCCGCGCCGACGAGCGCCGTCGGCGTCCGCGGCGGGAAGACGCGGGGCGCCGGCGGCGCCTTCGCCGCCGCCGCGGCGTCGCCGTAGACGACCGGCGTCGCCGAGGCGAGCGGGTGCGGGTCCGCGTTCGCCGCCGCCGCGCGCGCCGCGCACGCCGACGGCGGCTGCGCCTCGGGCGACGCGGCGCGCGGCGGCGCCGCGAGGTCCGAGGCCGCCGTTCGCGACGCCGGTGGCGGCGCGATCCGAGGCGGCGTCGCACCGTGCGGCGTGGCGGCGGCGACGTCCGCGGACGCCGCGACGACCGGAGGCGGCGGCGCGGGCTGCAGCGGCTGGGAGCCCCGCAGCACGCACACCAGCAGTGCGCCGGTGACGATGCCCAGCGCGTACGCCGCCAGCGTGTGGCTGCGCGATGTCGACGACAGCTGCTGTTCTGGCGCTGGGCTCGGCTCGGTCTGCGGCGCGTACGGGGCGCGACCACGCCGCGACGCCATCGTTCCAGGGGCTGCCCCAACGGAGTTAATCCACATATTAAGGACAAAGTTCAAATTTTACCTTACACGGAAATGACCCCTTAGTCAAGAACAAGCACATTTTCGGTTATTTTTTAACACATCTCGGTTTTTTTTCGCAAATTTTATAAGGATTTTTTTACACCAACGTCCTTTTTAAAAATTTACATTTTAACAACCACTTTTTAATGATTTTTTAGCGAGTTTCCTAAAATTTTAAAAAATTTAACCACTTTTGGTGAAGTAATGTTTACCTTCAAAAATCGCGGTCAGTTTTATATCAGGTTTGGTTAAATATTATTTGGTCTTTTATAAGGTTTTGTGATGGTCACAAAGAAAAACTCACAAACCTAAAACATAAAAAAAAACCTACCTAATAGGACTAAAACAGGAAATGACACTTCAACATCTGTTTTTTGGAAAGTCCGGGACAAATTCCCTAATAAAAACTTCCCCATCAGAATTACTATGATTTCCTCCTGGGCAATGACACCTCCATCCGGCAGGAATCAGCATGCACTCTAAACACCTAATAACATCAATTCCATATTTATCACATTAGAAACATTCCAATTAGATATATCTTGATTGAAAGCCTCCGCTTGATAGAACATATTTTTCATATTAGTCACATTAGAAACATTCCAATCACCAATATATTGATTAAAACATTCAGCGTCCGAAAACATACCTATCATTTCAGTAACATTAGAAACATCCCAATTACCAATAGGTTGATTGAATTTTTCACATGCAGCAAATACATAATTCATTTTTTTTACATTAGAAACATCCCATTTAGAAATATCTTCATACAATAATTATATAATATACAAAATACATCTCATTCCCTTATCCAGAAAGGGTCGCGCTTTAGCGGTGAATACAGCGTGGAATTGCCATTCAAGTTTTCGGAAGTGTTTTGATATTCCAGGATTTCAGTTTTTTAAAAGGGAATATTGCTACAACTCCTTATATAACACATCCAAATCAACAATCTCTTCCTTTTTACAGACGTTTTTCAAAATAAAATTAAAAAAATTCGAAAAAAAAATAAATTTATTACAAGACTTATAGAATATACCAAATACAACTCATTCCCTTATCCAGAAAGGGTCGCGCTTTAGCGGTGAATACAGCGTGGAATTATACAAATACATCTCATTCCCTTATCCAGAAAGGGTCGCGCTTTAGCGGTGAATACAGCGTGGAATTATACAAAAACCGCATCATTCCCTTATACAGATGATCTCAAAAATTTTAACATCATGTCATAAAATAACCAGTGTTGTTTAATTATTAACTTCTGGTTGGATATGAACAAACTTTGGTCATTTTACAAGCCAATTCCCCCCAACGGGCCTCGAGTTTTTGTGGAAACTTGCCATAACTAGGGGATCGTGGGCCGCGCGGTCGTGCCTGTTTGTTGTTGGCGAGCAGGCTTGTGCGCGACGTGGGCGGCGGTAAGGCGAAAAACGATGTCCCCCACGCCTGCCGCTGCGACGTCTGTGGCAGGCGCGACGACGACGTGTGCGGGCGCCGCCCGGGGCGGCCGCCCCGTGTCCCGGCGGGGCCGGCCGTAGAACAGAAGACGAGCATCTGGGTGCCCAGGGCGATCCGCGCCGTCAAGATGCTGGGCCTGCGAGCGATGGGCGCCCGCCTGGGCGTGGGCAGGAGCCTCGCGCGGCCGCTGTCGAGCGTGGCGGCGCCGAGCTCCGAGCTCGGGTCCTTCGACTACGGGTTTAAGAAGGACCGCATCGCGAAGACGACGAGCGGCGCCGCGGAGAACCGGGGCTTCACGTACCTCGTCATGGGGTCGAACAAGTTCATCTACGCGTCGGCCGTGCGCATCGGGGCGCTCAAATTCATCGCGACGATGTGCGCGTTCGGCGTCCGGGTTTCGAACCGGCGGCCCCGCCTGCCGGCCGCGGAACGCGGCTGGATTTGGGGGGGGAGCGGCCGCCCCGCGCCGTCGAGGGAAGGCCCCGCGCGCCGCCCCGCGCCGACCCCCCCGCGTGCCCGCAGGTCCGCGTCCAAGGACGTGCTCGCGCTCGCGAGCGCCGAGTTCGACGTCGGCGCCGTCGAGGAGGGGCAGACGATCACGGTCAAGTGGCGCGGCAAGCCCGTCTTCATCCGCCACCGCACGGCCGAGGAGATCGCCCAGTCCGAGGCCGTGACCCTCGACGAGCTCCGCGACCCCCAGCTCGACAGCGAGCGCGTCGACACGTCCGAGTGGCTCGTCGTCATGGGCATCTGCACGCACCTGGGCTGCGTGCCCATCGCCAACGCCGGCGACTACGGCGGCTGGTTCTGCCCCTGCCACGGCTCCCACTACGACGTCTCCGGCCGCATCCGCAAGGGGCCCGCGCCGCTCAACCTCGAGATCCCGCCCTACAAGTTCACGGACGACACGAACCTCCTCGTCGGCTAGGCGGCGGTACCCGGCGCCGCGGTCGGGCCGCGGCATCCCTCTTTTCTCCTCCTCCCTTTGAGTTCCCCCGCTCTCTCTATTAAGTTCTAGTACCGCCTTTTTTTGGGAGCGGGGACGCGAGCTCTGGAGGCCGACGGCGTCATCGCGGCGCTGGGCGGCATCATGCCCGACGGCGTCCGGGCCGTGGGCGAGATCACGATCGTCGACAACGGCGCGCCACACGAGCAAGCTCGAGCGCCTCGGCCCGCGGCGCGACCGGTACCCCCTCGGCACGTACTTTGCGCCGGCGCTCAGGCTCGCGTCCGTGGCCATCACGCTCGACCACGACATGTGGATCCCCGGCTCGCCGTTGTCCGTCGTCATCGAGTTCGCGCTGACGCCGGCGGCCCGCCGGCGCCGCACGACGCGCGCCGAGCGGCTGCTCGACGCCGCAGCAAGTGGCCCATGGGCCGCCGCGCGGCGGCAGCGTGTCGCGGAGGGGCCTGAGGAGCGGGTCGCCGCGGGTGTGAGGAGTTCCGCAAACGCTGGCGCCGTGCTTCGACGACGACGGTCGCGACGTTCGAGGAAAGTTGTGGAGGCGTTTGTGATGGATTCTCGGCTTCACCGCCTTCAGTTTGAACTTGAGGCCCTAGACGTCAGACTCAGATTGTGCGCCGCCATACGCGGCGCCTGTGGATCCGAAGTTGAGCATCAACCGCACCCGCGACAGAGACGCACGGACTGCCAAAAACGTCTGCACACGACAGCCACAATGCCCGAGCTCGCCACAACGACCCACGACAACAGCAGCGACGAGGACTGCGTCAAGTACGTAAAAGCAGCCACCACCGTTGAAGCCGAGGACGCCGCCGTGGTGTCCGGCGGCTCGGAGGAGGGGGACCCCGAGCCGGAGCGCCTGCGGGCCGCGTCCAACGACGACGACGGCGTCGACGAGCCGGAGGCGCCCGCGCGGGGCGAGTCGAGCGCGAACCTCGAGAGCGGCCGGTGGTCCGCCGCGGAGCACGCGCGCTTCGTCGACGGCCTCCAGCGCTTCGGGCGGCGCAAGTGGATCCGCATCGCGGAGCACGTCGGCACGCGCACGGTCATCCAGGTGCGGTCCCACGCGCAGAAATACTTCAAGAAGCTCCGGCGGACGGCGTCGACGAACAGCCTCCGGAGCCTCGGCGAGAGCGACGACGAGGGCGAGGGCCCGCCGGCGGCGACGCGGGACTGCGCGACCCTCGAGGCCCTCGACGCCACCGAGGGCTTCGCGCTCCTCACCGCGGCCGCGAAGCTCGTCGAGGGCGCGAAGGCGCACGTCCGGCCCGACGAGTCGGGCGACGAGGCCGCGAGCTCGTCCCTGAGCGCGTCGGGCAGCCTCGACGACCTCCACCGGCCCGACTGCGACGACTCGCGGAAGCGCGGCCGGTCGTCGTCGAGCGAGGACGACGACGAGCTCGCCGCCGCGGCGGAATCGTCGAAGCGGGCCGCCGTCGCCGTGAGCCCGCTCCTCGCCTCGTCGTCGCCCCGCGTCGCCGCGCCGCTGCTGCCGGCGCCCTTGGGCTGCCCCGTCGTCTCCGCGGCGACGACGCCCGAGGCGCGCCTCGACGACAGCCGCTACTCGCGCCTCGGCGGCTTCGCGCTCGAGTCGCACTGACTCCCCCCCGAGATCCCCCCCCTTCCCGCCGCCCGCGACGTCGCGGGCGACGATGACACAAAGGAAACTCCCGCGCGCGGCGCCAAGCACGGCCGCGCGCGCGTCGCCGCCGGGGACCCCCGCCGGGCGGGCAGCGATATGCCCCCGCCCCCGCGATCCCCGCCGCCGAGCAAGGTCTAAATTCAATCCAAGCTAGCATGTGTGTCACGGCGCGGCGAACGCACCTTACCTCACTTACCCGCCGCCGCCGCGATCTCGTCGGCGAACTCGGCCGCGTGGTCCGCGAGCCAGGTCCGGAGCTGCGCGAGCGCGCGGCCGCGGTGCGAGATGGCGTTCTTCGCGGCCTTGTCCATCTCGGCGTAGGTGAGCCCGCCGCTCTCCGCGGGCTCGAAGACGGGGTCCCAGCCGAAGTCCGTCGGCCCGCGCGCGGGCACGATCGCGCCCCGCGTCCGTCCGTCGAACAAGCGCACGGGCGCGCCGGGGCCCGCGCAGAGCGCGAACAAACACTGCGCGTAGGCCCCCTTGTCGTCGTAGGCCGCCAGGAGGTTGTTGAGGCCCGCGTGGCCCGTCTTCTGCAGGAACCACTTGATGTAGGGACCGGGCAGGCCGTTCAAGGCGTCGAAGCAGAGGAGCGTGTCCTCGCACATGACGGCGCCCCCGGCGGCGGCCGCGGCGAGGACGCACTTCTCCCGCGCGATGTCCTCGGGCTCGCCCTGGAGCTCGGGCAGGTCCAGGGCGCGGTTGCCGATGGCGAAGGGCAGCGGCGTTCCGGCGTTGAGGATGGCCGTCACCTCCTCGAGCTTTTTGGCGTTGCCCGTGACGAAGGTGAGCGCTGGCTTCTTCGACGCGAGCGCGGCCATGCTCGAGGCGCGCCGAACGCCAACGACGAGGGCGGCGAGGCGCAGCGTGTTGCGCATGCACCAGGGGAGAGCGGGGCTCGAGTGCTGCTGCCACAAGCCCTCGGCTCGCTGATCTAGCAGCGCGAGATCGCAGCCCGCATGCGAGTTTGGTGTTGAGGATTTCGCGGTGATGCTCGCGGTGATTCAAGGTGACGACAGAAACGACGCCAACCAACGTATCCAGGCTCGCGTATCACAGCGAGCCGAAGGCTTCAACAAGTATCAAGGCAGCCCCGCGTTGTCGAGAGGCTCCGCACGATGGCCGACGCCGCCCTGGGCGCGGCCGTCTTCGATGTCTGTTCGGGCGTCGCCGCGCGCGCGACGCGCGGCGTCGTCGACGAGGCGGCGGGCCGCCTCGAGTTCCGCCTGGGCATGGTCGCGGCGCGCGTCGCGTCGCTGGGCGTCACCTTCCGCTTCGAGGCGCCGGCGGCGGCGCCGGCGCCGTCGACGGCCCTCGCCGTCGTGGAACCATCGGTGGCGACGCGGGACCCCTGGGCCTGGTCGTCCTTCGGCGACACGAACGCGAGCCGGCGCTGGACGGCGGCGCTCGACTGGCGGGAGGCGGCGCCGGGCGTGACGTTCGCGTCCGAGAAGGACGAGGCGCGCATGGCGCTGCCGGACGGCCGCACGCAGCTCGACCCCATCGTCGAGACCTATCTCGGAAACAACGCGGCGCGCGTCGTCCGCGCCGTGCGGAGCCGGAGCCGGAGCCGCCAGCACGGCCGCCCGCTCACGGGCCCCATGAAGCCGCGGACCATGGCCGAGGCCGTCGCCGCCTGGAAGCGGCGCGAGGCGCGGCGGGCGGCGCCCATGACCCTCGCGGAGCGCGAGACCCACTGGAACGGCCGCACGCTCGGGCCTCCCTTGCCCGCGTACGACGCCGTCGGCGACGCGCACTGCACCTACACGCTCGGCGTCGCCTTCGCCGCGTCGCCCTACAAGGCGGCCCTCGAGGCGACGCGGCCGGGCTACCGCGACGACCTGCTCCGCGCGCCGCGCGTCTACCACCGGCCCAAGTGGCCGACGGCGACGCACGCGTACAAGGACGACCCCGTGCTGCCCTCCTTCTCCGTGTCGTCGTGCAGCGAGCCGGGCCCGGACGCGCGCCACGCCCTCACGTCCGCCGGCGCGGCGGCGCGCCGCGACGCGGCCTACGGGTCGTCCGTGGCGCACGCCGAGGGCCGCCGGTCCCGCGTCTACCACGTGCCCCTGTCGCGGACGGACTACAACAGCGGCAGCCTCCACCCGGTCCGCGGCTCCCTCGGGCCCGAGGAGGGCAGCCTCCACTGGGCGTCCGTGCCCGCGCGGAACTGGTTCAAGCTCCAGTCGGAGAAGACGCGCTCCTTCCACGGCGACAGCTGGATCGAGATCGTCCAGGCCAACGCGATCCACGCGACGACGCGCGACCTCGCCGTCGAGAACCGCGCCATCTCCAACCCGAAGCTCCGCAAGCGCGGCCGCGCGAGGTAACTCGGTTTTTACACTTGTTTTTACGCGCGCCCAAGTTGCAGCACCGTAAGAATCATTCCCGAGGCGGCCGGCAGGAATTCCTGGCCGATGGCCATGGCATCACCACGAAACCCAACCAGCTCCAAGCAACACAGAGACCAGACACGAAACCCAACCAGCTCCAAGCAACAGAGAGACCAGAATGAACCCCATCGCCCGGCCCGTGATCCTGCAGGTCGCCGAGCCCGTCGCGCCGCCCCAGCTCAAAGCCGGCTTCCACCGCACGGCCAAGCAGCCCCTCCTCAAGCAGAAAACCAAGAAGCTCATGATGGTGCAAAAGTCCGTCGCGGCGATCATGCAGGCCGCGAAGAAGCCCGTCGTCGGGCGGGCCAAGTCGTGGGTCACCAAGAAGCAGAAGCCGAGCAAGCTCGTCGACGTCTTTTTGCAGTTCGACCACGACGACGCGAACGCGCTGGACTACGCGAAGCTCGAGGCGCTGCACCGCTTCTACGGCGAGCCCCTCGACGCGCACCAGCTGCGCGACGACGTCGACACCTTCGGCGACGACTACGGCGCAATCGACTTCGCGGGATTCGTGCTCCTCGCGCGGCGGCGGCAGCGGCGCGGCGGCTTCCGCGGCTTCGAGGACGCGGCCGCCGCGTCGGACGACGCCGCCGCGGCGCGGCGCGAGGCGGAGCTCGACGACCTCCTCATGCGCGCCCAGGCGGCCGACGCCCTCGCCGCGGCCGCGCCGCGCGCGCCGCGCAAGGCGGCCGCGCCGCAGTTCGACCGCCCGCTCTCCGGCCTCCGCACGTCCGCGGACACGGCCGCGCGGAGCGGCCTCAACTGGGGGCTCCTCAACGACGCGGTCAAGCGCCGCGCCGAGGACCGCGCCGAGCTCGCCTACAAGCCAGAGCCGCCGCGGCGGAAGCGGGGCGGCCGCCGCCGCGTCGTCCCCGTCTAGCGTAACGACTTCGGAAGTTTTCAGCGGGCGCATTCCCAAAGGCGGCCTTACGAGGCTAGTGGCAGGCCCGCCCGTGCTTGCGGAGCATGAAGTAGTTGTAGGGGAGCGGCGCGAGGAAGCCCGCGGCGAGCGACGCGGGCAGGAAGGCGAAGAAGTGCTCGGAGCAGATGTCGCCGCCCGTCGCGTAGTACGACACGGCGTTCTCCGCGCCCTCCATGCTCAGCATGGAGATCAGCGACATGTTCGCCGCCGTCGAGGCCGCCGTCGTCCAGCTCGCGAAGCCCTCCCAGACCCTGAGCACCCACGTCTCGAGCGCCATGGACGTCGCGACGCCGCAGGCCATGGACGCGGCCATGGCCGGCGCCGCGCCGAGCTCCGGCGCGGCGGACGCGAGCAGCCAGAGGCAGGACAGGTCGCCGACGCTGCAGCCGACGAGGCACCGCGTCGTGTTCCGCGCGGCGCGGCGCCACGACGGCGCGTCCGCCCAGAACGCGGCGGACGACGCGCCGGGCATGGTCCCGCCGCAGGACGGCGCGCCGGGCGTCGTCCCGCCGCGGGACGGCGCGGCGGACGGCGTTCCGCCGCGGGACGACGAGGCCGCGCGCGACGCCGCGGCGACGGGTCGCGTCCGCGCCGCCGCCGCGCGCGCCGCCGCGGCGCGCCGCGCGGCGCTCCGCAGCATCATCGCTTCGCCTCCTTCGCCGCCTTCTTCTTCTCCAGCGACTCCTCGACGCACTCCTTGAAGGCGTCGAAGAGCTCCTCGCAGGCGTCCTCCTCGGCGCCGCTCGCCGTGCCCCACTTGAAGGGCTGCTTGCTGAAGCACTCCTGGTACTTCTTGTGCAGCTCCGCGCAGGCCGGGAAGGTCTTGTCCATCGGACGACGCGCGTGGCGGAGCCTGTGGCAAGGCCAAACGAGCTCTGCTCGCCGACGGCATCGACGGCCCATCGTGTCGGGGGGGGGTTGCTCCCAGGGTTGCTCCGCCAGTGGGCCCCGGCCGACCCCTCTAGCGCAGCGACGCTGTACTCGAAAGTCACGATCTTGAGCGTGATCGAACCTTCATAGTACCGTCGATTAGGAAACCAAGGGGCATGTCCAACGCCATCGATGGTGGCGAGATCGGCGACTCGGACTGTGCCGGATTTGTCCGTAGGAGCGCGGTGGACGAACGAGGCCCGTAGGGTGGATTTTGGACCAACACCGAAACTGCGTCTCCGGCACTGACCAACCGTCCAGGGCGACGCCAGGGGTCATGGGGCGTCGCCCCGACCACAAAAAGCGACCGTTCTGCGCCTATACGCAGCGCATGGCTGGCGCGTATACGCGCGTATTCGTACGTAGGCGGTCCTTTTTCGAGCATATTTCAGTGATTTCGTCGAGTTAGAAAGAGCTTGCTTCACGCGGGCGTAGCTCGCCGGGACGTCTGGGACCATGCGAAAAAGAGTGACTTTAGACGCCGCCGTCGCGCGACCGCGCCGACCTTGCCGGAGCAACCCCCCCCATCATCGCGCGCCTCGCGCG